TTTCCCTTTAGATTCTTCCAAAAGCTTTTTCCCCTCAGTCTTGGATTCTTCTGCAACCTTTCCAAATCTTTCTCTTCCTCTTGATTCTTCCGGAACCTTCTTCTCCTCGGATTTCGTCTTTCTCTCTTCCCTAGTAGGCTCCAAACCCTTGGAAACCTCTGGAAGTTTCATCTCTTTCTCTGTTCTAGAACCTTCCGGAACCTTTGAGGGAGTCTGTTTGGGCATGGTGATGCTGAGGACGCCGTTCTTGAAGCTGCCGTGGATCTTGTCCACTCGACAATTCTCCGGCACGGGGAAAGCTTTGTTGAAGCGGCTCCATCGCTTGTCCGCCGCCCCATCCAACCGCCGTTCACCGGTGACCCTCAGCGTGCGCGTGGCGTGCACGTATGCCACCTTGATCTGTTCCCTCGTAAAACCTGACACGAATATATATGTCCATATTTAGTGACCCGTTAGCGGATCAGAAGGTTATTTCTTTTTAAAGTTTTGATCGTTTTTGTAACAAAAAACTGTTTTTTCTTGTGTGAAGTGAGGAATGAGATGGAACAAAGACAAACCAGGAAGATGGATGAGGAGAAGAGTGGCGTCGGGTTGGTCCTGAAGATCTGAGTTTGGCACAAAGTCCTCGTACTGTATCTTCTGTTGCTGTTGCCTGGCAGCCATGATCCTTCTTCTTTATTGCTGCAGATATACCTAAACTTTATATCTGTTCTGCTTTTCTCCTCCTGAACTGTATGGTCGTGGCAATGCATCATTAGGGTTTATATATCTATCCGCATCTCGAACATACAAAAGAATGAAAGAAAAGGGTTCTTGATTCTGCGGGGGGAAAACCAATCCTACTGTGCGCAGTATGGCATAGATTCCTAGTTTTGCGGCTATGTTTTTCAATAAAGAAAGCAATAAAGTTGTCTGCTTTCTTGCCTTCTACATCATCTTTCCCCACAAAGACTTGGTCTTTGTGTTCATACAAATGCCACATGATCAGGAAGTTTGTGTATCATCTTTATCGAGATTCAACCCTTGCCCACAAACTAAAGTCCGATCCTCATGGCCCAGAAGTTTTCTGATTTCAGATAGGTGACTCGAGTCATAAACAGTGGCTGAAAATTGGTCAGCTATCACATAAACATAGACTCTCGTTGTATCTATCTGTCTGCACAATCTCACCAATCTCCTCTTCCTGAGTCATTCTGCTTGACAAATCTGCAACTCGATCCCCTTCCAGAACATAATCTCCTTCAACTGCACAAACCCATCGAACATATCCACATGAAATTCTGCCAATTTTCGTGACGGGCAAATCTGAAAAATAGAAAAAAAGAAAAATACAAACCCAAGAACACAGCAATGGATTAGCGTCGGTTCAAGCGTCACTTGGCGAAGAACCAGACGTCTCCCACCAACTGTTCCCTCCGATTTCTCCTCGTTTGTCTCGCCAATTTTTCAAGCTCTTGTTTCTCGACGGTCAAACAGAGAAAAGGGCTAGCGTTTTCTTTTTCCTCACAAGCAGAAAAGGAAGCGTCAAGACGGCTTTTTTCCGAACAAAGACTCAAACTTTTGCCACATTTTTTCAGATTTCGCTGCTCAGGCATAGATAAAGAACGTAAACCCAGGATTCTCCGACCCATTTTTTTAAAGATTTTTCTGGCAATCGCTTCGAATCTCTCTCTCAAAATGAAGTTAAATGCTCTGAAGCAGCAGATTCTTCGCCGAGGAGGAGATGGTGATAGTGACGGCGATTTAAAATTATAAAATGACCCATTGGTTAAGTTTTTTAATTAAAAGAATATTACAATCGACCAATCAAACATCGACACGTATCATCTGCACATCTTTACCTTCCGCGTTCCTCGAATATCTCGCACGCGCACAACACACACCCTGAGGATCCTCCGCCTCGAGCCGCCGTAAGCTCCGTCGCCATGGCCGTACATCTCCGTCAAGCGTTCTGTACGGCTCAGCTTCCTCTTCCTGCATCTTCTTCGTCTTCGTTGTCTTCCCCTTCTTCTTCTTCGTCGTTTCGTTCTGTCTTCTTCAAGCTCCGAGCTCCACGCGCCGCCTCCGCTCTGCGAGCCACGCGCCGTTCTGTAAGTGCAGCTGCGTATTCAGCCATCGATTCGTCTCCGTCGTCGGCTTCGTCGGTAGACGGTCGGGATGAAGTGGGTAAGAGGCCTTTGCTCGAAGTTAGGGATTTGAGAGCTGTGATTGTAGAATCGAGGCAGGAGATTCTCAAGGGCGTGGATTTGGTGGTTTACGAGGGAGAGGTGAGTATCAATCTCGTCAAATAATTGAATTCAGCTTCTTTAGATTTGCTACATGTTGTCAATTTTAAACTCAGCCTCGAACTTGTGTAATCATGATTCTTAGATTGATATGGAAATCAATACCCAGCAAGTTTTTCCTCAAATTTGTCTCAAGGACTGAGAAATGCCGATTCAGGAATCTGATCGGAGATAACGAATCAGTAGAGGAACAAGTTATCTTTAGGGCAATGATGTTATACATCCAAACACGAAGAACATTAAAGTAATGTTGAATGCACTATAGAAACACAAATTTTGGGTGTTTTTGTAAATATCCGGATGAACTTGAATGATTTTGATCTTGTGTATTGTCACATATAGCTTATTTTGTTGAAATTTTGCCGAGATTCATGAGCTGTTGTTTCGTTGTCGTAAATGAATACACAGATTCATGCAGTGATGGGGAAGAATGGCTCGGGGAAGAGCACATTTTCGAAGGTGAACATCTCAGTTGCAGTATGAAGCACTTATGTGTTTGTTCATAACAGTGACAGAAAGACTAAGCTATTGCATCTTCAGGATAATCTCTACGCTACAAAAATGTGTTTCCTTTTTTCCTGTCTGTGCTCTCAGTGAGGTCTTATACATTGTAGGTTCTTGTTGGCCATCCAGATTACGAAGTAACGGGAGGCAGTATTGTGTTTAAAGGCCAGAATCTGCTAGACATGGAACCAGAGGAAAGATCTCTTGCTGGCCTCTTTATGAGTTTCCAATCCCCGATTGAGATCCCAGGAGTTAGCAATATGAATTTCTTGAATATGGCATATAATGCTCGGAGAAGAAAGCTTGGTGAGCCAGAGCTTGGATCAATTGAGGTACTCTGTCACATCAGTCTTTAGGAATTGACAACTAGACAGTTTACAGTTTTTCCATGGTTGGATCTTTATGTTATATGTGGTGCGTGACTTTATTGGTCCCGTTGTATTAATATATGGTTGCATACCTTATGTTTGATTCCTGACTGGTATCATTTTGCTCTTGCAGTTCTTTGCCGTTGTATATCCAAAGCTCGAAATGATGAATATGGATCGTAAATACCTCGACAGAAATGTTAATGAAGGATTTAGTGGTGGTGAAAGGAAACGCAACGAGATCCTACAGTTAGCAGTATGGCTTCTATCACTTTTCTCTTAACAACAAGCATTGCATATGATAAACAAACAAAACACCACTTGTTTCATATTAAGGAAAGGAGGCTGAGAAGGCTAATGATATAGCTTGAAGTTGCAATGGGAATCATGGAATATAGCTCTTATGTCGTCTATATTGTTTGGTAGAAATGGAATTTTAAAAACTATGATAAATACTGAAAAGGAGGAGAAATTGGCAACGGCAGTATTTGATATAATTTTGGCATCTCCTTATCACCTTTACATGGTACCAAATGAATGAATGCATATCCATATTTTCCAAAAGACCGAGATTTCACCTTATCTAGCAACTTTAATTCTGCTTTCTTATGCCAGCTGGAGATCTTCCCCTTGTAGGGTCAGCTTATTTGTTTTCTCATTAACCGAAATCCTCGATAGTGTTTACTATTTGCCCGACAAATGCATCAAAAGGATTATGTAAACAGCCATGCAATGCCTGAACCGTTCTATAACTATATTCTACATGTTTGCAGGTCCTTGGAGCTGAGTTGGCTATACTGGATGAGATCGACTCTGGGTTGGATGTCGATGCTCTTCAAGACGTGGCAAAAGCAGTGAACGGGCTTTTGACCCCCGAGAATTCCGTTCTGATGATAACCCACTATCAGCGTCTACTGGAATACATCAGACCGACTTTCATTCACATCATGGTGAGTGTTCTCTTGCCTGTTCTCATGAAATGAAAGATTATTGGGCAAAACCCTGACTGTTCTTTTTCGTTTTCGTGGATAATGTAGCATCTAATGTCTCGCAAGTAAACCAATGATCATATTCATATATGTTGCCTTGTTTCAGGAAAATGGAAGAATCATAAAAACAGGGGACATCTCGTTGGCCAAAGTACTGGAGAAGGAAGGCTACAAAGCTATATCTGCTCCTTAATTGAAGAAGAACACCACCGGTATTCTTTCTTCTTCCATCTTCCAGGCCAAAGACATGAACCCTTCAGATTGTAACTGAAATCAGATTTCTTCAAAGATATTGCTGCTGCTCTTTGTGAAACTTGTGCCATTTTTCCATTTTTGATTTTTGTATTTATCAATATTTTTAAATCGGACCTCTCCTCTCCTCTTTACATTATCAATAAAAGAAGTCTGTTTCCTTGTGTATCTCACAAGTCATGCATATAATTTTCATAGATCAACAACTTAACATACACTGTATTATCTGAAATCCATATTATCAGAAGATTTATCTTTTCTCTCCTTCAAACTGTATATTATATCAATCGAATAACAGATATTCACAATCATATTCGTTTTCATCTTTGTTCCTCTCGACTTCAATGGTATCTGATAAAATCCTCGCTATGGGGACCAAACATCAGTTCAATAGGATCACTTTGATTGGTTCATCTATGAGATTTGTGGGTAACATTCAACATTGGAAATTTCAATACCAAACTTTTATTCGGGCTATGAAAATACACTTACTGACTCATTTGGAATTTTGTAAGGACACCAACTTGTTAAAGTACTCAAAATCATTGGAATTGTTATCATTTCTTCTCAAATAAAAAAAAATGTGGACTTAACAAAAAAAAAGGAGAGTAGATCTTTGGAGCAAACTTGTAATATATAAGACAATCTGCCCACAAATTTCGGTGAGACAAAACCCAAATGAACGCGTTTTCCATGGGTCCTCTTCTTCATCTTCCTCTTTCTTGAGTCTTGACTCATTAAGATATACAATCACTCACCAGTTTATGCAAGTGTCGTGCTATTAAACTATCCCTGGATTTTCTCTCCTCCTTCTTGCCCATTTTCCCACCCAATCAAACATATTCTGTTTCTTTCAGATCTTTTTTATTTTCCTGGTGATTTCTCCTTGTGGGTTTGCTTCATTGCCTCGCCCTCTTCTCTGGGTTCGTCTAAAGTTTCGGTTTTTCTGATGCCCTTTTGATCTTGTTGCTTGTCTACTTGATGACTTCCTAGCAGTATGCTCTGTATTGATTTTTGCTACTGCTGCTATTACCGATTGTAGTCGTCGCATCCCGGAAGATAGACTTTTGGTGTCCGTTCTGTATTGCGTATTGGCTTTGTTCCGGAAGGGTCATTTGTTACGCTTTCTCAATCAACCTGTATCAGAGTTGATGTCTAATGCTGTTCGAGAACTAAGCCGTAGAATAGAAAGGATTTGACTTGACTTGTCGTGTGGTTGCTCTTGGAATTGAGATGAGGTCACTGTATTTATCTTGGTGTTCCGTCGATCAGATCTTGATGTAGAGAGATTGATTACCTGATGCGTTTCTGGAGAAGGGTTTAGGAGAAGTAAGGATATTAGATGGGGAACACTTGTGTAGGACCAGGCATTTCACAAAATGGAGGGTTATTGCAATCAGTTTCTGCAGCAATGTGGGGGCCACGAATGGCGGATGATTCGGTTTCCCAAACAAATGGAGAAACTGCCATTGAAGCAACCTCAGAGGAATTGCCATCTCCATTGCCTGCTGTGCAAGATAAACCCCCTGAGCAGCTCACAATGCCTAAGCCTGAGATGAATACCAAGACTGAGCCAAAACCTGAAACAGAGATCCAACCTGAAAGCAAGCCAGAATCCCAACCGGAGACAACCTCAGTGTCCAAACCAGAAACCAAGGCGGAAGTCAAACCCGATACTGCGGCTAAACCGAAGAAGCCTAAGCATATGAAGAGGGTGTCCAGTGCTGGGCTTAGAACCGAGTCAGTGTTGCAGAGAGAGACTGAGAACTTCAAGGATTTCTATTTGTTGGGAAGGAAACTCGGGCAAGGGCAGTTCGGGACAACTTTTTTATGCGTGGAGAAGGCTACAGGAAAAAAATACGCATGCAAGTCGATTGCCAAGAGGAAGTTGTTAACAGAGGACGATGTGGAAGATGTTAGAAGGGAGATTCAGATAATGCATCACTTGGCTGGTCACCCAAATGTCATATCCATTAAAGAAGCTTATGAAGATGTTGTGGCAGTGCATCTTGTGATGGAGCTCTGCTCGGGAGGAGAGCTTTTCGATAGGATAATCCAACGTGGGCATTATACCGAGAGGAAAGCTGCTGAGCTCACACGAACCATTGTTGGAGTTGTGGAAGCTTGTCATTCTCTTGGTGTCATGCATCGCGATCTCAAGCCCGAGAATTTTCTGTTTGTTAACAAAGAGGAAGAGTCTCTCTTGAAGACGATTGACTTTGGACTGTCGATATTCTTTAAGCCGGGTATTACTTCATCTATTTTTCCGGATCCTTTACCATTCAATTACCAGATTCGCAATCTTAGCCTAAATGTTATGCCTCAAGATTGGAAAAAGATTTTGCATTTAAGCTTTTTTCATCGGATTTCTGAATTCAATTCCTCCATTTTGCAGGCGAGATCTTTACCGACGTTGTTGGTAGCCCTTATTACGTAGCTCCAGAAGTTCTTCGGAAGCATTATGGTCCTGAAGCAGACGTATGGAGTGCTGGTGTGATTGTTTTCATTTTATTAAGTGGAGTTCCCCCGTTCTGGGCTGGTAGGAACCATAGATTCTGACTACTCATCTGTTACTTGTTTATATTTGACACCGAATGGAATTTTTTGTTTCTGTGAAATACCCAGAAACCGAACAAGGAATCTTTGAGCAGGTCCTCCATGGAGATCTTGACTTCACATCAGATCCCTGGCCTAGCATCTCTGAAAGTGCAAAAGACTTGGTGAGGAAAATGCTCGTGCGAGACCCCAAGAGAAGATTAACGGCATACCAAGTATTATGTAAGCTGTTTTGAACTGAATTTTCTTTTTTCTGACTTCTCCATTGTAGCTCCCTTTCCTGTTCTTTGTTCTGACTGAACATGTTTTGCTCTGAAACAGGTCATCCTTGGGTACAAGTCGACGGAACTGCTCCAGATAAACCTCTGGATTCCGCTGTCCTGAGCCGAATGAAACAGTTTTCAGCCATGAACAAGTTCAAGAAGATGGCTCTAAGAGTAAGTGAATCATTTGCAGATGAAATTCCATTGTAAATCTAAAATCTTTTTGAGTCAGCTTAGCTCCTTACACAGGAGAATAAGAGAACGCACTGTAAGATTTGGTCTTTTCTCTTCTTTCTTTAGGTCATAGCCGAGAAGTTATCCGAGGAGGAGATAGCTGGTTTGAAAGAAATGTTCAAGATGATAGACACTGACAACAGTGGTCAGATAACTTTCGAAGAGCTGAAAGTAGGACTCAAACGAGTTGGTGCCAATCTCAAAGAATCAGAAATTCTTGACCTAATGCAAGCAGTAAGTGTTAAACCCGTTTGCTTGCACGTAATTGCCACACACCAATCTCCGTGAACTTTCTCTCTTACGTCGGAAAGGCAGTAACCCTTTCTTGTTTACTAGTTTTTTCTATATCGCCCCGAACTCTAACAATCTCCATTTCCTTTCATCTTTTCCTCATACTATGAACTCCAAGCTGGGTACTTTCAAGATTAATTGTTATACTCAGATCTTGCAAACAATTTTTTATATTTGACATTTTAGGCTGATGTGGACAACAGCGGAACGATAGACTACAAGGAGTTCATAGCTGCTACATTGCATCTGAACAAAATAGAGAGAGAGGATCATTTGTTCGCCGCCTTTTCATATTTTGACAAGGATGGGAGCGGTTATATCACCATGGACGAGCTCCATCAAGCCTGTGAGGAGTTTGGTGTAGAGGATTTCCGCATAGAAGAGATGATGCGAGATGTTGATCAAGACAACGTAAGATCTTTTCGCCTTCACAATCTCATGATCATACATTCTTAATCTTTGCCTACCCGTCTCAGCATTAAGCTGAAACGGACAGGATTTTCTGTGTTTTAGATAGAATCCAAACCAGTAGGATTCAGATTAGTCACAGATCCATGGCTTGAAGAGTTGAAGTTATATTCCGGAACAAAACTAAAGGAAACTGCAGTTTCCCTGAGAATTCTCCTGTCCCTTTCCTGTGGGAGCTTGAGTGATTCAACGGTCTTCTCTTCCTTTAGCTTAGACAGAACAGCAATAACAGCAAAAATACTCTTCCCCTAGTGATCTTTTGCAACATGGCCATGCCCTGAATTTCTTGGAGTTCATATTGAGTATCTGAATTCTTTGACACCTCGGTTCGTGGTTTCAGGATGGGCGGATTGATTACAACGAGTTTGTGGCGATGATGCAGAAAGGGACAATCACCGGAGGACAGGTGAAGAATGATATAGAAGCTAGCTTTAGCATTGAACTGAAACACTAGCTTCAGGTTTATAAAATCAAACCAGAGGAAATCATAATACACATGATGAATGATGATTTTGTGTAGCGAAGACATAAATGCATAGCCAATTTTCTCTTTCTCCCTCCCCCCCTCTAGAAAGCTTCAATCTTTTGATGAGATTCTGATCCTTCTGATCTTGGTTTCAGCAACTGTCCTTGTGATGTTACTGTTTGTGCATATAGTTTTGTCTGTAATTCTCTGACATATGAAGAACCAGTTCAGGCATGACCAGAGACAGATGAGGTAATTGAGATACTGTTAGGAAACTGGTATTAGACCACTGAATAAAATGGTTTTGCTATTAATATTTAGATTTTATTCTACTTTTGTCTTTTAAATATTTTTTACTGCATTATCTTACTATATACTTGTAATCTTATAGCTTAAATAATAAGAAATCTCCAATGATATTCTCTACCCAAATCTCTAATACACTATTTTCATGAAAGTAGCTATCTTCCTTTTTTTTTAATATCTTCTCTCTATCCCAAATGTTGAATAATGAAGTCCAATTTTATATATTATCTACTTGATTCGAAATTATCTAGAAATACACATAAATTTTATACTTTTATTCTTAAAAAGAATAATTGCAGTGGGATCATTATATATAAATGGCAAATCTAGTTTTATTTCATGATTTCCATATATATATATATATGTATGGGTCTCTTAGTACTAACAGGCCCATAATGAAGCAAGTGGGAAATGGGCCCATTATGTCCTCAAAAAACCCAGCCCATCATTATCATCATTATAAATTCACCGTTGACAATGAGATTCTATCATCACAGTCAAATATCCACCGTTGGATCTTGAGTATCATGACGTTGCCTTCTTTGACGGTTTGATCGAACGGTTTTTGATCGCCTGTCTTGGTTCCCCCGTGACGGTCGCTCTCGCTGGTTTGTAGGGCCTAACAAAATTTACAAATATACCCTTGTGGAGGTTCTTCGCTTTGCGCTCCTCTCGTTTTTTTTTTTTTTTTTTCTGATACCCTAAGTTTATTTTCCTTTCTTTGCGTCTGTGCGCGCAAATTGGGATACAAACCCTAATTCCCAAAAATTTTCCGATTCCCCTATTCTCTGAATTGGGTTTCGCAATTTTTCCTTCTTTCTGAAAGTTTGTCAAAACCTAGATTTGGTACCCTCTTCGTCAACCCAATGGCTACTCCGGCGAGGGGAGAGAGCAACAATCCCTACGGCGACGGATTGGGAGCCGGAGGGAAGTTCCGGAAGCGGCCGTCTCGAAGGCCTCAGACGACGCCGTATGATCGGCCACCGATTTCGGTGAGGACACCTGGCCTTGCCGGAGGAGGCGGCAGAGAAAATGGTAACGGCGGTGGATGGATCTCGAGATTGGTGGATCCGGCGCAGAGGCTTATCACTTATAGTGCTCATAGGCTATTTGCTTCGGTTTTTCGGAAACGCCTCCCGCAAGGTGATGCTCCTTTGTTGCTACAGCAGCAACAGCAGGTTCCGGAAAATGGTAAGGGATCTGTTGTTCTTTCAGTCGAAAAGTTTTTTTTTGTCTGTTTATTCGCTTGTAGTCAGGCCTTTTCTGGGTTTGTAGTCTTTTAGCTTTAAAGTTCGTTATTTGCTCATAGAAGTATAGTGAGAGGAGAAACATTTTGATTTTGGGATGCGTTATTTTTTTTTTTTGAATGCTTAAATATACTTTGGAAAGTACCTGGCAAGCTTTAGCGTATTATTGGAAGGAACCTTTCTGCAATTTGTTGGGGGTACGGTTGGAACTGTACTGGGAGCTGATTATCCATTTTGTGGGTTTAATGGTGGTTCTTGCATTTTGTGTATCGAAATTTTACCTTTCCTGCATGAATGTTATTAAGGTGCCTCGTTTCTGTTTTCATGGACCAGAAGTGAATCTGGAGATGGAGGGAGGTGACTCAAAGGGCGTCCAGACTGTAAGTACATGGGCTGCATTTTTCCTAATGAGATTTTTGTTTCTCTGTAGTCGGATTTCCTTAGCGTTTTATTCTTTGATATATGTTCTAAAATTTATGTATTTACATGATATGTAAAAGTTACCCAATAAGAATGAAATGATCCAAGTGGAAGATACCAGTGCATTTGTTGATAGAAGTAGTATGAGGATCAAGGATGGGTTTACAGATCTTGAGCAAATTTTAAAGCAGAAGACTTTTACAAGGTACACTGTTTTTCGTGTGTTGCATTTATCATGCATGTATACCCATAAAACCGGGACTGCAAAGACCCTAATTGTTTGGGTTCTGTGCTTCCCATTGGTGTTGTCTTCTTATAATTTGCAGTATTTTGTCTCTGTTTTTTGTTTCAGATTATGTTTTCACACTTTTCTTTATCAATTGTATGATTACACAGATCTGAAATTGATCGGTTAACTACGTTACTGCATTCCAAAGCCGCGGGATCATCTATGGGGAAGCAGGAACAGAGAGCTGAGGAAATTAATGTTAAGGCATTGCCAATGCCTTCGCATGACAGGGATCAGGGACGTACACATACTATGTCTATGGAAAACGGGAATCAGAAAAAATCTGTTTTGACACCTCTTGGCAGTTCGGATGTAAGAAAACTGCTGCTTCTCTTCATGTTCACTAACTTCTTTTAGAAGCTCATCTGAATACAGTTGATGCATGCTATAGTGTCATGTCTGGATTTCATTTCCATGCATAGTAGTGTTATAATCTTTAATTTCCATTCTTTAACTTCTCAGGTTCGTGATGAGTGTCTTGCTTCACCAGCGGAGCTTGCAAAAGCCTACATGGGCAGCAGACCTTCAGAAGTATCTCCTTCGATGTTGGGATTGCGTGGTCAAGCGGGTAGAGAAGATTCTGTTTTCTTGAGTAGAACCTCGTTTCCTTCAAAATCTCTTATGATGCCATTGGTGCCAAGGTCTTCCGGGAAGAATCTGCTTCCTGATAATGGTTTTGTTACCCCAAGAGCTCGAGGCAGATCTGCAGTTTATAGCATGTCCAGGACACCATACTCTAGGGCTCAGTCATCTGGGAAGGTCTGTATTTTGACTCATATTTTGTTTTATTGTTGAATTGCAACTTGTTTCAGTTTCATGATGAGCTGTATTTTCCAGGTTGGCTCAATTTTGCCAGCATCTCAGAGTACATGGGAAGAAAGCATACCGTCTGGATCTAGACAAGGGGTTCAAATGGTAACTTTCTTGGACTAAACACCAAAATGATATTGTGGTCAGGTGTATCTTCAAAACAAACTGTTCATATGGCTCTTTTTTTTTGTTCTGGCAGAGCCTCAAACGAAGAATCTCAGTCTTAGACAATGATATGGGATCTGTGGGCCCTGTTAGGAGGATCCGGCAGAAATCTAACCTTCTATCAAGGAGCTTGGCTTTACCTGCTTCCGGTTCTCAACATGCTTCTTCACCATACCAACAAGTGGGACCTATTTTTACACATACGTCTAAAGAAAGTGCAGAGGATATTCCAGGTCCAAGTTTGAATCTTGTTCCTTCCAAGTCCAGTGAGATGGCTTCAAAAATACTGCAGCAACTTGATAAATTGGTCTCTACAAGAGAGACGTCACCAACAAAGTTATCTCCATCCATGATACATGAGCCAGCTCTTAAAAGCCTCCAGCATGTGGAGGCTCCAAAGTTCTTGGGGAACTTCCAAGAGAAGAAATTGGGAGGTTCGCCTGGTTCTAGTTACCAAAAGGAAGACAGACATAAAGAGAGTGGCTCTCAAGTGGTTTTTGCTCGTACTGAGAAGCCTTTCACTGCTGTCAATACCATAACTAAGACAGCTTCAAAAAATGATCAGGATGCTGATGTTAAAGGCACTTGCTTGCCGGCGACAAATTCTATGGAAGAGCACCCTCCAAAGAAAAGGGCATTTCGGATGAGTGCTCATGAGGTAGCTATCTATTGTTGAGTTCTTATGTGTATAGTTTTTGTCTTGTCAATTCTGGTTCTGAGGTAATGCAGTGTTTCAGTTCTGAATTCGGTAGTGATCTAGCCATGAGTTGCTTTGCCACTAAGTTATATCCCACATAAACAATCTATAGACTTTATCAAGCCTTACCCTTCCCATGAACCAAAAAAAAATGTTTTTTCTCATGATTTGTTATACGAGCATTACCTTGGAAAATTCATGTTTTCCATTTGTGAACTTATCCTCTCCTGTAAATATATTTTGAATTATGAAACGTTCCTCATTAATTTTGCGTATATCTTGAAACTTTTTTAATGGTTAAATCGTGCAGGATCTGGTGGAGTTGGATGATGATCATGATGCTGCATCTACTCCTCCAGTTGAAGTGAAGGAAAAAATGAATGCCTCAAAAGTGGACAGTGACACTGGTATCAGCAAGGCCAAATGGGAGAAACCATTTTCTTCTTCTGAAGTCAAGCCCTTGGCAACATTTGTTTCTAACGGTGACACTTCTTACGGTACATCTAATGGTACTGTCGCAACTGGGAAGAGCACCGAGATTAAGTTCACTGCATTTGCCACTGAAGCTGTTGCACAAGGTGATGTGGGTGATCATTCAATTTCAAAGTTTAGCAAAGGTGCTGCAACAGAGCAATCAATCATTTCTCCTGCTATATTTAGCTCGGTGGAGAAAATTGACTCTGTGAAAGAACCTAGGAAAGTTACTCCTGGTATGTCTAGTGTCTTCTTTTCATCAGGGTTGGCCAACCCGTTTGATCAAAAGTCTGATGCAGCTTCCGAGACCAATTCTGGAAAGCCCAGGTAGGTACCTTAATTCCAATTCCTATCATCTCCATAGGAACAATTATTTTACATGACTCCACCAGTGAGCCTCTAGCCGCACATTTTCTTCTGCCGATTTTGATCTATAACTTCTGTCTCTCTTACTTGAATTTGCAGCTTTACTTTTGGAACATCAGAGCCTCTTACAAAACCACCTGAGTCTGGCAAAATTGTCAGAAGCAGTGCCTCGGGAGCTGGATCAACTACCTCAGGATCATCATCGCTTAATGGTAGTATATTTTCATTTGGAGCCGCAGCTGCTAGTCCAACTCCAAATAAGGGCTCTCCTCCTTCAACTCCTCTTTCTCCCACGAACATATCAGATTTACCTTCTACAAGCTCCATCACTCAGCCAGCTAGCTCCGAACAATGTTTTGCTTCTACCCCTTCGACAACTGGTGTATCCGGAAACTTGCCTGCTAGTAACAACAAAGACAGCAGCTCTGTTAGCATTTCGATACCTTTAGCACCCAACTTTTCTACCACACAAACTTTCAAGTTTGGGGAGTCTGCTGCATCACTTGCAGCATCAACGGTTTCTTCATCCACCGATCAGGTTTCCAAAGTTACCGGTATCACACATTCAACGTTTGGCAATTTAACCAGCATTCCATCTGGTGGTATAGCTTCAACAGTTCCAAGCAGTGGGAGCAGTCCTTTTGCTGAACAATCCTCAGCAATCAAAAGCTCAACAAGTTTCATGTTTGCCTGCTCTTCTCCTGCCGTCACAGATGCAGGTAGCAATATCTCTGGCGGGACATCTGCTGCAGCTGGTGGAAGCACTTCAAACAATTCTATTACTGCGTCTCCTGCTGTTGGTAGTGGAGGAAGTAGCATATTTGGTGTGACATCTTCCTGGACTTCAGCTACAGGAAGCAATATTTTTGCCGGCAATTCTGCATCAACCACTACCAGTAGTATATTTGGTACCTTTCCTGCTTTGACAAGCTCCGGAAGCAGCCTTTTCGGAGGCACAGCCTCGAGTACTGGTACTGGTAGTAGCATTTTTGGTTTCACCGCTGGTGCAGCAGCTTCTGCTGCTAGCTCTCAATCTCAGACCTCGAATCTTTTCGGTGCAGCTAATGCTGAGATGGGTAACCCTGGGAGCGGAACCACGGGTTCAATTCAAAGCCCCCCGTTTCAGTTTGGTTCATCTGCATCAACTCCTACATTTGGTTTGCCTGGGAGCACCTCGACTGCATCTAGCAGTTCTACATTCGGATCTTCGACCTCGGGAACTCTGCAATTTGGCACAGGCTCAAACACTCAGCTTGGTTTGTCGCCTTTAGCAGCAAACTCTGCCAGCTCCAGTAGCAGTACTACGATGTCTACCGTATTTGGTTCAAACTGGCAGCCCTCCAACTCTACTCCTGCGTTTGGTTCCTCATTTAGCTCCTCTTCAACACCCACCTTTTCTTTTGGAGGATCCTCCAGTTCTGCCACTGGTTCAAGCACTACAGCGCCTATTTTAGGATCATCTGCCAGTGCACCTTCATCTTCATCTTTTTTTACTTTCAGCTCAACCCCTGCAGCCACTCCATCTCAGCCAGTATTCGGGAGCTCAACCCCTGCAGGCACTCCATCGCAGCCGGTTTTCGGCGGCTCAACCACTGGGTTCACTTTTGGTGCCACACCTCCGCCCGCTATGAATGGTAGTAGCAACAACAACGATCAAATGAGCATGGAAGATAGCATGGCAGAGGACACTGACCAGGCAAAAACATCTGTGGTTCCAATGTTTGGCCAAGCAGCGGTTGCACCGCCTCAACATCCAACATTTGCTTTTGGAGCTGCAGCCACTCCTCCGAGTGGCGCAAGCCCGTTCCAGTTCGGAAGCCAACCGAACAACCCGTCTCCTTTCCAGGCATCGAGCAGTCTCGAGTTCAACGGAGGAGGTGGGAGCTTCTCACTGGGAAGCACGGGGGGTGACAAGTCCGGCAGGAAATTCATCAGAGTGAACAAGAACAGGCGACAGAAGAAATAAGGTACAAAACCCGAAAACGATACACTTGCTTTGCCCTGCTTGTATTGGCGGAAGAGTATTCACCTCTCCCTGAGTCCAGCCCCCAGGGTAAAGGGAAGAATACTGAGATGGGGGCTGTAACTGTTGGCTGCTTCTGCTTGTGCCGATTGTAGCCGTTTGTTTTTCAGATTATTGGCTTTGGATGGAATCCTCAGGTATAAATTTGTAGGGAAGTTTTGTATTCTCAAAAAAAAAAAAAGATTGAAGCATGTAACACTATAGAACACTGTTATGGAATTTTAGTCTACTGTGTACTCTCTTTTTTTTTTTTTTTTTTTTGTGGGCAGAGTATCTGTAACATGAAGGAGACAAGAGAGACCCCGAGTCTGAGTCGAGTCTTGTCGAGTTGCCAACTCACAAAGATAGACCAGACACTTCTTCCTCGTTGAAGCAAAAACATACTACATAAAAAAAAAGAGTTATAAATGTTTTTCCGATTTTATACGTATCTTTCCATTATTATTTGGATTATACTGTTTTAGTTCTTGTTTAATGGTTTTTATTTTCAAATGTAATTTAAGATTAATGGAACAATCTACGCAATTTCCGAGTAGTTTTGGTTAAAAAAAAACAATTTAAAAAGTAAATAAGTTATTTATGTGCCGTATGATTGTAGATTTTCAGAGTACCATCAGTATCCAAAATTAGGAAATTTACCTATGATGTGTACGGAATGTATGTATGTATGTATGTATGTATGTATGTATGCACTTGTTTGATAGATAAAACGTGCCGTGGTGAAAAGAGTTCCATGGATATTCATTCATATCTTCACCTTCTGAGAAACTTCTTTCGCTGACCATTGACATTGAATTTTATTTTTTATTTTTTATTTTTTATTTTTAAATACAAAAGTCAGTCCGACAATAAAATGTCCAAACTTTATTATTTGGGTTAAATATAAAACGAAAACCCAAAAAAACCCCCCGAAGAGAAAAGGTATTGTGGAAAGGAAGATACTTTGGGATTTCAATCATTCGAAGCTTTGGCAATCTTCTCCGGATTCTGGAGTTCTCTCTGTTTCTGCGGTGGCTGAGATTTTTTTGAATTTGTTCGGGGAAGATGAAGAGAGTCTTCGGCGCGAAGAAGAACAACGAGCCTCCTCCGTCCATTCAAGATGCTTCCGATCGGGTTCTTATTCTTCTTTCTAATTTCTAATATCCTGTTTTAGGGTTTCCTTGTTCTCGTCTCAATCAGCGATATCGCTTTGAAATCAGTGGAATGTAGAGAGTTGGGGATTTCTGGGTATGTTCGTATTGAGAAATCTTTGGTTTTAGCCGTCGATTTCTGGGTTTTATCGTGTTTGATCCTCGAACATCGTATTGGTTTCGTCCTACAGACGGGTAGATCGAAGGTTGCGTTTGAGATTCTGTTTTTTTTTTGTGGTGTTAGATTTGGATTCGGAGATCTTGTGGGAGATTTTTAAGAGCTGATGAAACCACTAAGATCATCAAAAGTTAGATCCTTGTCTAGAATGTTCAATGATTAGCCATGTGCTTGATGGAACGGCTTCTGATTCTAATTATATGTACTGCACATGATATTCGAGTGCATCCCTGGTTCTCTGGAGTTTTCCTTTTTCTTACGTCTCAATTTTGGGGGCAGAAATCTTTGCAATCTATTTAGTGTTGTCTCTTTTTCGGTTGTTGTTCTTTTAGGCTTTTGACATTGTTATGGTGAAGACAATGGCCTTTCCCTTTAAAAAAACTTCATTCTGTGTTCTCAGATCAACAAAAGAGGGGACTCGGTAGAGGATAAGGTTAAGAAGCTCGATGCTGAACTCTGCAAATATAGAGAACAGATAAAGAAGACGAGACCTGGTCCAGCTCAGGAAGCTATCAAAGCTCGGGCTATGCGGGTTCTAAAGCAGAAGAAAATGTGAGTTTATCTCCATTTGTACCTTTGGTCACGGATTTCAGGAGCAGGGAGTTGCTATAACCGATTCCACCTTCCGTTCCTCTTTGTATTCTCTCTAATAAGCTTATGAATGCTCAGTACATGTTTTGTTCAGTGATTGTTGTTTATAAACGTTCTTACCTATTGCTCAGGTATGAAGGACAACGTGACATGCTCTATAATCAGACATTTAACCTTGATCAAGTCTCATTCGCTGCCGAAGGCCTCAAAGACGCTCAACAAACTGTATGTATAGCTTTGCTTTCTCATTGTTCCTGCAAAAGATCAAATCCCAAATGGACATACTTCTCATATATGATGCTTGATGAGCATGAATGCATATAATCGAACTATGAAAAGGATCCAAGGTGGATTTGTGGTTGTTTTGAATGTTGAATATCTTCTAAACCGTTGTTATTTTTCAGATGACGGCACTGAAATCTGCGAACAAGGAGCTGAAAGGAATGATGAAAACTGTGAAAATTCAAGATATAGATGTATGTTTAAGTTGTTTACAAGCTCTCTATTCCTCTACAGGCTTTCTAGTGCTGATTTACCCGATACTATCAAATCTCCCTCCGCTTATTGTTTACTACAGAATTTGCAAGATGAGATGATGGACTTGATGGACGTGAGCAATGAAATTCAAGAGACACTCGGTAGGAGCTACAGTGTCCCTGATGACATTGACGAGGATGACCTTATGGGTGGTAGGTTCTTGTTCTGAGGAAATTCCTATCTGCCCTTCACTTTTTTGTAGAAACTACTGCTTATTCGGCAGAAAAAAAAGAATCTTTGCATTGCGTTTTTTGAGTATTTTTTTACTGAACACGTCTGAATGGTTTGGTATTGTAGAGCTTGATGCTCTTGAAGCCGACATGGGTAACGAAACTGAAGCTGATGGAGTCCCTTCTTATCTCCAACCTGACAAGGAACCTGATCTTGAAACCGAACTTAACCTGCCTCCAGCACCTACCGGACACGCAGCAGTTCCAGCTGGACGAGTGAATAACCAGGTGAATTTTTCTGGACCTTTTTCTTCTCTGTTTCTTAATTTGTTCACCGTGTTCATGTAGAAAATTTCGACACACAAGATAGAGTTTGCAATTGGAAAGTTTCCACATATTTTACACCCTTATTTCCTCCACTGGAGTAAACCCCTACCCTTTTGAGTAGTAAATGCTTTATGTCGATTTACCAGTAAACCCTGTATGATTGTGAAATCTCATTATCGATATATTTTGAATGTGGTGACAGGCCGAGGACGAACTGGGATTACCTGCAGTACCAAGGGCATCGATCCGAGGCTAAAAGTTATAGATTCACACTTGTGTGTATTATCTCATCAAAATTCATCTCTGTGCAGAAACTTGATTAACTTTGTTTCCTCATCTTTGTTCTCTATTGGGTTTTAGAGGATATATAGTTGATACGTGCGTCAAGAAGATTGGAATTTTCTTTATAAATCAATCTCACTTTCACTTTCAATATATGTGTACGTATATATGTGTGTGTGTTTATAATAATTCAGCTAAACCATTAGACTCTACTTGAATCCACTAACATCACAAACATAGCTTAGAAATGCTTTGGTACTTTCTTCCTAATAAGTGGAATACTTGGTACCCAAAGTACATATCTATCTCTGTAAATATTGGACTTAAACAAAACAAAAGGTAAAGAACATGATATAAGGGACTTGACGTGGATATTAGACAGAACCCTGATTAAGTTGTCAGATTTTAGCTCCTGTTCCTGAATTTAGTTGAGATTGTGTCTTGTCATGTCGAACATGTTCCAGTCCATATGTGTTGGAGTTGCTTTATTAGGGGCCGAGTTTGCCCTGTACAGCTTCTTGTTGTTGCTCGCCAAATTTCCCAATCCCAGTTTCAATCTCTGAGCTTCCTTCTTCAGTGACTGGTATTCACCTGCGTACAATACGGCGTAATCAGTGTATGAATCTATCGATAACGACTGTATTCGTGGTTTTCATCCATGAAAGGAACAAACTTGAAGAGAAAACCGATGACCCGAATCCATGAATGTAATCCTATTACCTTCCCGTATCATCTTATCCTGCTTCAGTATCGCCATCTGCTGCTTCAGCTGGCTGTTCTCCAATGACAGAACCGCCCGTTTCTGGAGAAGAGTTGCTACTCTCACTGATAAATCTGCTTCCACATTCTGCAAAAACGATTGGTTAACAATGTAAATCTGCTTCCAATGTATAGAAGTACAGCCAAATTGGTGCAGGACAATGAGTAACAAGTGGGTTTAGGGTTTGCAGATTGGAACAGAGTTCAAATTTTAGAACTGTACCTGTAACATGGCTACTGTCCTTTCGAGTTCAGCGATGTACTGGAGTTTACGAACTCTTGAACGCTGTCCTGGATTCCTGAAATATGGAAAGAGGAACAAGAACAAGAAGAAGGAATCAATAGAGGGGCACAATAGTAGAAGATGTAAACAATAAGCCGGTATATAAAGTGAAGGGTGGACCTGACAGTTTCACAAAAGAACTTAATACAACCATATGAAGAAGCGTGAATTGTGTCAATATTAACCAAACAATCAAAAGGGTCATTGGTATATCCACCGAAATTGTTGCCATGGTAGCAGCGCAGATAATGCACTAGAGTGGCGTGAAATCAGATACGAGTTGCTGTAAGGGAGATTCATGGCGGTGATCTATCTAAACATCTAAAGAAAGAGGAGTGTTCTCCAACCTTTTTGTGGCTCTCATTTCTGAATTTTGTGTGCCCATCTGACCACTAGCGTTTTCTGTCAAATCTTGACAGCTGATGCCAATCACATTATCTTCCAAATTCTGGTGTGATTTCTGAGAATCATACCCCGAAAAGGCTGAAGCTATAGTGTTGTTAGAGAAGGCGGGGTTGTTCCTTGTCCTGGGCGAATTGGGACCATAGACACAGGCTGACTGCAGTTCCCCACAAGCTTCAATCCCTAAACTTTCTTCATCTTCGATATTGAAACCCGACAAGTCGTGAATGAGGTCTCCCATAAGCACAACTGAGTCACTAGCTGATCGGCGGAGAGGGCCTCCCATTAGATTCCCATGTGGTTTCTCCCCAAGCAATTCGTCTAGCCAAGCTGGCTGATTCTTGAGCGTGGAATCTTGAGGAGAAGGCTGAAACTGGCCAATGTATGATTCAATAGGTGAAGAAGAAAAGACATCGGAGACGGGGTTAGATGTCTGTTGTTTCTTATGAGATGGGCATCGAGGTGGAAGCTGACCAGGCTTTGACATGATGAATTCCTGCAATGGTTGATGTTCACAGTGACAATGTGCTTCAGAAATTGATGTGAGAATCCAATAATTTAGAGCTTCTTCAAGACAAGGAAAAGATAAACACAAATGAAGTAGCGCACACAGTGGCAAAGTGAGAAAATTGTGAAAATTTTCCTTCTTTTTCTTAGGGGAATAGTGATGGTACACACCAGAAAGACACAAGGCTTTGAAGCCCATTTTCCAGCTCCGTACACTTATTTTCTCGGCAACCAAACAGAAATCACATGGCAAAGAATTTCTTCTTCCAAATCTGTGAGAAGAAAGATCGAGACACCCATTTTTGTACTTACCCCACACGACGAAACAAATCATTACAAAACCCGATTCAGACGGAAAACATCAAACAATGCAACAGTCACCCTCATCCATTACCAGATTTAAACCTCGCAACGCAAACAGTGCAAAAGACAACGAAAACCCAGAAATCCTTACGGGACGCACTAAACGGCGAAACCCACGAAATTCACGAGTTTCGATCGAATAAGACGAGAATCGGGAACAAACCCAGATCAAGAACATGGTGAAACTGTCTAAGTCATACCGGAGATTTCTCACTTACCCTCGTTTTATACTCCGGAAAAGATTTTCTCGGCGAAGAAGAAAGCGACGGAGCAATGCAGGGCAAACGAACGAAAACACGAGTGTGGGCGAAGGATATTAGCGTGCGCTACCAATCATCTCTCTCTCTCTCTCAAGCTCGACAGCTGCTGCAACTTGCACATAAATATTCTCTTTTCCTCTGGTGCGCGTATATATATATATATACACGTATCATGCATATACGGATCGATATACATACAGAGAGCGTATGTGAGAAGAGGAGGCCAAAACAAAATCCCCCAATTGGCTGGAGCCGAATCGTACGGACGGGTCGGGCCCTAATTTCTATCGGTCAATAGCAAGTAGACTACCCATCCATCCGTACCACCATGCCCCCAAAGTTTAATTTATTTTTTATTTTTCTTTTATTGCACTTAAATTACAATTTATTATTATGATGTACTTGCATTATATTTATATTTATTTCGTCGAATCCATCTGTCGAAAACGTTCGGAATCAAAATATTTAAAATTTAAAAAATTGAAAAAGGAAGAAAGCTTGCCAATGATAATAATTATTATATATCAATATACGGAATTGTTAGATAAAGTAATCAACATTATAAAGCAAACAACAATATACATCTTCGTGAATGATTGGATTAAAATTTATATTAAATGCATATAATAATTTTATTTTTGTAGATCCTATCAACTATAAAAATAACACTCTCTAAACCCAGTGACAAAATTATTTAATAGGCATCGAAATATAAAAATATTTATTTTTAAAATTAAAGAAAATTAAGATTTCCGGTGTGGGAGAATGCGAAAATGAAATACAAAAGAATGTGGAAATATAAACATAATAATTATTATAAATAAGCTAAAGAAGGAACTATATTTTCTTGAAGTAAAAGGGATGGATTGGTGGTGGGGCAAAGGACTTCCCCCCCCATATCTAACGTACAAGTCAGTCTCTATCTTTGCTTCAAATCTAGAAAGTTCTCAAAAAACATGCACATGTTTTATAAAAATTTTAATTGAAACTAATTAAATTTAATATACACATTCATTCTGTATAATCTCTTTAAATTAATCGGATTCAAATTAAATCTTATCACACAAAAAGAAATATTTTTAAGGAAATATAAATGTAAATAAGCTAGAAATGAATCAAATTTTAAAATAATAAATATAGTTTCATTAATACACACGTGTATATATACTGATACATCAAAATATATGATACTTTCGTACTGTATATTTTGTAATATAATGGAGAATAAGAAAATGATGGAGTTGGAATCTCATTCTATAGAAGATTTCAGTTCGGTATATAAACTATTATGCTACATTAGAAATGATTTACTAATATTTTGACCGAAATCTAATGATGTTGAAATATGATATCCAGTCGGTCAAAGAGATTAAATATATTTGCAACATACATATAAATTAAATATATTTAAAAAATTTAATGATGTGGAAAATATATGATTGTGATTAGACATATGGTCACTTAATTATTACAAAATGCCGAAAATATTTGTACTTTAGCCCAAAGGTGGGCATATCTTATTCTCAATGGGCCCACAAGAACCAAAGTGGGCCTTACATCCAAACTCCCTCTCTCTCTCTCTCTCTCTCTCTTCTCACCTCGAAGCAGGCATCAATGGATCCGCAGGAAGAGAGAGAAAATCATCCATGGCGGCGAAAGAATTTCTCAGTATTCATCTATTCGTTTTCACTCTTCATGCTTGTTCTTGCGATAGTAATGTTAAGTTTCACCAGCACTGATCTCTACAAGACCCAACAGCTGAGATTCGCCCTCATCCACCGCCGCATCTCCAGCTTTCTTCGATCCAGTTTAGGGTTTGGGAAAACTCCCAAAACCCTAACCCCCAATTCGAATCCATCATCTCATTGTGTCCTCTGGATGGCTCCGTTCCTCTCAGGTGGTGGGTACAGCTCAGAAGCTTGGTCTTACATCTTGTCACTGCATCAGCGTCTCCAAATCAACCCTAGATTTCGGCTCGCCATCGAACATCACGGCGATCTCCAATCCGTCGAATTTTGGAACGGATTGCCTGAGAACGTGAAGAGATTGGCGATGGAGATGTACAGAGCAGAATGTAGTATCAACGAGACGATCGTCGTCTGCCATAGCGAGCCTGGTGCTTGGTACCCGCCATTGTTCGAAACCCTTCCTTGCCCTCCCAGTGGGTACGGAGAATTCTTGTCTGTGATCGGTAGAACAATGTTCGAGACCGATCGAGTGAATCCTGAACACGTAAATCGTTGTAACAAGATGGATTATGTCTGGGTTCCTACTGAGTTTCATGTCTCTTCGTTTGTTCGAAGTGGCGTTGATCCATCTAAGGTTGTCAAGATCGTGCAGCCTGTTGATGTCGAGTTCTTCGATCCTTCAAAGTATGATCCTTTGGATCTGTCCTCCATCGGAGATCTGGTTTTGGGTTTGGATTCGAAGAATCGAGGTTTAGGGTTTGTGTTCTTGAGTGTGTTCAAGTGGGAACACAGGAAAGGTTGGGATTTGCTGTTGAAAGCTTACATAGATGAGTTCTCTGGGAATGACAATGTAGCTTTGTACTTGTTGACAAACCCGTATCATTCAGACAGCGATTTCGGTAACAAGATTCTGGATTTCGTGGAAGAATCGAGTCTGGAAGAGCTTGATCAGGGTTACCCTCGAGTCTATGTGATCGATACCCACATAGCCCAAGTTGATTTACCACGGTTATACAAGGCAGCCGATGCGTTTGTGCTGCCTTCACGAGGTGAAGGATGGGGGAGACCGGTCGTGGAAGCCATGGCCATGTCTTTACCCGTCATCGCCACAAACTGGTCAGGACCTACCGAGTTTTTGACAGATCAGAATGGTTATCCATTGGTGGTGGAGGAGATGAGCGAAGTGAAAGAAGGGCCATTCGAAGGTCATCAGTGGGCTGAGCCATCTGTGGATAAGCTTAGGGTTTTGATGAGGCATGTGATGAGTAACCCTAATGAGGCTAAGCTTAAAGGAATCCGAGCCAGAGAGGACATGACCCGAAAATTTGCTCCTGAGATTGTAGCCCGCATTGTTGCTGATCAAATAGAAAGAATATTCGACGAGAAGACAAGAAGAGGATAGATCAAAGTGTCATACCAGAGAATCTAGATGTCGGCGAGGAGTAAGCAGTCCTCAGATCAAGTAGACAACACCGACAAGATCATAAGAGAATGAGATAATAAGCAAGGATTGTATTCATTCTTCGAATCGAAAGAAATGTGGAAGACTCAAGGAGATCTTCTCTAATCTGTTTCACAGATCCATCATCTCGGTTTATTGTGTATTTCTGCTCATCATACAGAGAAGATTTCTGAATAAACCAGCATGAGATTTCACTGGAGATGAGGAGCAAAAACCGAAAAAACTTCCTTGTAAACCGGCTTCTTGAAATCTGCAGCCTGATACAGTAAACGATGTAACAATCATGAACAATTGAGTACAAACATCAGAGAGTGAAATGTAATCTTTGTTGGAGCTGAATACAAACGGTGTGAAGCTAAACAATTGCACTCACAAGTTCGATTATTTGCTCGGGGGACATCCAGGACCATTCCCCAAACTCAGGTTTCTCACTTCCATCACCCAGAAGATTGATTTCATCATCATTCCCAGTAAACTTTAAGAGAAACCTGCACATTCCCAAGAATGAATTTACTCATAAGCACCTTACAAAGTGATGGAGCATCATCTATAGTCCATGCTGTCTAGACTGTCTTCTACTCTAATCTTTCTACCATAATCTGCAGGTACTAAACCATTTCCTGAAATATAGGAAACACACACCACTTTTGAGCTTGGCCCTTCCAGTCTGATCCCCATCGGACTCTGAGTTTTTCCCGGACATCCGGAGGGAAGTCATATGTCAACCAGTGAGGTACCTGCAACGACAAACAAGATTAAACTAATCAGTATAACAGCTCGAGGAAAACGGAAGAGAAGCCGATCGGGAGTTCTTGCAGCGATTTCAATGCAGAGTTACATAACATCTGAACAGGGTTTTGGAAGAAAAAACACGGGCAATGCAGTAGCTAGACACCTCTGCAATGATCTCGGCAGACTGAACTCCTGTCTCTTCTTTCAACTCTCTTATTGCAGCAGTTCTTGGATCTTCACCCTCGTCGATTCCACCCTTTTACCACACAGGACAGTAAAACAAAAACACCAAAAGATCATTAATTCATAGGAAAATCTACCATGGTTACTGGAACTCCAAAGAGAATTGCTTCCACGAGCTAGAATCTAAGTAGTGCCTGATTGATCTAAAAAACCACATTTCACAAGCAAGAACCAACACACTATGGTCTCAGAAGATCGATTAGATTTGGATTCATATCGGTTTTAAAGGTTTGAGCTCACAAAATCTGTCTAGTCATGCAGTCTGACACAGCTAGAACTTGAAACAGCATCTATGTCCGACTGTAACAAATCAGAAGAAAAAGACCCAATCCACGAAATAGAATCGACACAATGAAGCTACGAAGGGATCGAAGTTTCATCAGGACTGACCTGAGGCATTTGCCAAGCATCCGGAAGATCCAACCTCGATGCGGAAAAAATCTGCCGGAAAATCATTCAGAACAACTGATCAGATATCGAAAAACGACTGGAAAAAAATGCAGAAACAACGGCAACAGAAGCAGCTTCGGACAGAATAGTAATCACCTTTTTGGAAGAATTCATTAGACAGATACCAACGTTTCTTCTGTAACCTTCGGGAGGAGACTCCATGGATGACGACGAGCACCGAGCGGAGGAGGCAGGAGAGTGACGGCGGCGGCGGAGGAGGGGCAGAGCGGAGAATTTGAGTGGTTTCGAAGGGTAATTTCGGAAAGGAGGAATGGCAGAATATATGAGAAGGGATCGGCTCAGTGCCATCTCACGGGCGAGGCATGTTCGCAGACCATCAGGTCTCTTCAGCGACTCGGCACTCGGGAGTACATATAGTGATTGGACAAAAATACCCCTCCTTCACCACGAAAATTACCCGAATAGAAATCTACCCCTTTCTTTATGTCACAAAAAAATTCTGATTTGTTTTTTTTTTTTACTCTCAAGTCCTGTAATGTATTATATTTACAAAAACAATCCTGTATTTGAATACACATGGCCTTTTAAGCCCATTAAATTAAAACAATTTATAAGAAGCAAAAAAACCCAAATTGTTCAGACAATATTTTATATTTTTTTCATTTTGAAAATTCAAAGAGGATCAAACGGTCAAGGCTACACATATGGAGAAGCTCGTGCGACGTGGCATCCGTAGACACCACGATCTTCTCCCTGCCGTTTCTTCTTCTCCCTTCCGTGTCCGGGAAGAGTCTTTGCCTCGCTTCTCGTCCTCACCTCACCACCTCCCACGAGCTTGCTTGGTTCCCGAGAAAATCTCTGCGACAACAGCCATGGAGAAACACCACCAGTCTCCTTCAGGTGATTGATTGAATGGTTGATTCCCGATAAGAAGATTCCATCCCTTGCTCTTTTCTGGATCTAACTGATTTCGATGCCTTCTTCTATCGTCTTCGTCGTCCTCGTTTGCGTTTTCCTAGGTGAAGCTGAAGCGGTGGATCACGCGAGGGAGTGTCAGGGGAAGGAGGCTTGTGAATTCCACGCGAATAAGCGTTTTTCTGATCGCATAATGCCTCATATTCTCAATCTGTGAGCAATTTCTCTCTCTGCGTCTGTTCGGTCTCTCTGTATAAATCCCATGTATTCGTGCCAACTGAAGGCACACACAGTAGATTTTGTCTTCTGTTTTAGGTCTGTTCCGTGTGTGTCTGATCATAACAGTAATTTTTCAGGCAAATTAGTCTATTGTTTGAGATTAGGTATGGAATTACCGGAGATTTTGTTCGTCGGATTGAACTTTATATGAATATAAGGTGACCTGTGGGATGGTATGAGCCAAGTACTCACTCCTTGTTTTTCCTTGAATCCGAAGTTTCAAGATCAATAGATGGTGTATCAGAGTATATACCTCATCTCATAGACTCATACCACACGGATTCTGATTTTGTTTACACTGAACCGTGTTTTTCCTTGTAGAGTTGGGCTTGTTGATTCTGGTTATGATAGATTTTATGACATTGAACAGAGCAGAGGAATCTTGATCAACCATTTGTCTTTTCAGTTCGCTATGAGATGATATATCGAATTTTGTTCTAGTGTATGCTAACTCAGGTTGTTAGTCTTGTTCAAGAAGTGTAGTGTTTCACAGACGTGGTTTGTGGATCGTGTCAGGTATGGGTCTTGTGCCACTGCTAGAGACTTTGAAATCTATGCTCGGAATGCTTCGTTTGAAGACCCGTTGATTCATGCCCAGGGGTAAGTAATCGGAGTATGTCATCTTTAAACTAATAAAGTGGCATTCTTGTACTACAAAGATTTGCATTGCATTGTGTGTCACATTCATAATTTTCACTTTCTTCACTCACTAAAGTTTCGACACGCCCTCGAGTTTGCAGGGTGAAGCAAATCAAATCAGCTTTTTATTCAATCCCAAAGGTTCCACTCCTCTCATTCTGCTCTAGGCTCCTTTGATTTACTCGGAAAACATCGACTTATTTTCTTTGCTTCAGGTGTTTAAAGAATCAAGAATGGTCGAATACTCTATACAGGAAAATGAAATTGCTCCTGGAAAGAAAGAGGTTAGACTCTTCTTCTTCGCCATTTTGCCTCACGAGCCGTGTTTACTGTTGATGCTCTCTTTCCTTTCAACTTGTCTCTTTACACCTGTGAGGATTCCCCCGTCTTCTGTATGGTAGAAACTTTCACTGAAAACCAATTACTTGACACAGATTCTAATTGACAACAAACAACAATACAAGTTCCTGGGGAAGAACATAGATATGATCTCTCTCATCAAACTGTACGTCGAGGATGGAAAGATTGTTCGCCACGAAGACTGGTAACTGCACTGTTATTCACAGTTTTGATTCATCAACTTCTTGTTCTCCTGCATCCATATGATCTGATAAAATCGTGAACCGGCTTATGCCTCGTGAATACTCAGGTGGGACAAGAAGCCTCTACGGAACAAGGACACGGTTAGCATCCCATTCGTTGGACGAATGTTAGAAGTCGTCCGAAGAGGATCCATGTTGGCGACTCATGCTATGATGGGTTTTGGTAAAGATCCAGACTCGCATCAGTCTTGAAGGTACATATAGATTAAAAAAAAAAACCGCACAATGTAAAACACTTCTGGCTCTATTTGCTTTGTGGGGTGAATGAATCTCTTCTATGCTCTCTATCCAATGTGGGGATGATGTGGTTGTAAATTCGGATTCAGTTTCACAAATTTCGGAACCTAAATGTCATCATAGTAAGAAACATTCTCTGTAATAAAAGGTCCCACTATAGATGTGTGAAACTAGTTAGTCGCCTTCTATGAGCTATTAAACCGGTTTCGAGGAAGAGACCGGTTTTGGTTGGGACCCAGTGAATTATCAGCCACTAGTAGGCTAAAAGATTCATTCGTTGTCGAGATGAATCTAGTGCCCAGATATTGTCTCTCTCTCGTAAGATATTGTGTAATATTGAAGATGAGGCTTATAATATCAACGTTAAAGCGTAAGTGTCTTAAGGTTTGGTCCCGGAATTTAATGCAAACGTTACATCCTCGCCCCAATTGCATTTAATGCAATAGATAAGGAGAGGAAGTTATGATGATGACGCAGCAAAAAAAAAAAAGGATTCACAAGAAGTGATCCGTAATTTCAGGCAATTAATTGCATTAAATATTTAGAATTCCTATATTATTATTATTATTATTTCCTATGAGTTATGTAATTTGTTATGCGGTTTTGGTTTTGGGGACGAAATAGTGTTGATTTGGTTAATGACGACGATTTACGCCGTGGGAAAAGGATTAGTGAAATCTTAATCTAACATATATTTTTTTGATACGATAATCTAACATATATTGTAGCTATATCAATGATTTTCTTTAACTCGCTAATTAATTAATTTACAGAATTCAAAAAGAAATTACAAGTAAGCGCGTGAGGCTAACAGCTCCGTCTTTCTTCTTCGATCTCCTTCTGACCTCGAGACGAATGCTCCGGCGACGAAGGTAATGAGGAAACAGCCGGGTTTTGGGGACGAAATAGTGTTGATTTGGTTAATGACGACGATTTACGCCGTGGGAAAAGGATTAGTGAAATCTTAATCTAACATATATTTTTTTGATACGATAATCTAACATATATTGTAGCTATATCAATGATTTTCTTTAACTCGCTAATTAATTAATTTACAGAATTCAAAAAGAAATTACAAGTAAGCGCGTGAGGCTAACAGCTCCGTCTTTCTTCTTCGATCTCCTTCTGACCTCGAGACGAATGCTCCGGCGACGAAGGTAATGAGGAACCACCCGTCGAGTAGCGAGTCGAATCCGTCGCCGGAGTGCTCCCGCCGCCGGAGAGGCTGGCGAGGAGATCGAAGAAGGCGCTCACTATCACGCCGTGGCTGCTCTTTCCGTTCATCCTCAAGTACCATCCGAGCATCGCTTCCAAGCTCTCCCAGTCCTTGGCCAGTTCCTCGTGACTGTTCACCATCTCCTCCATCGATCTTCTGAAATCTCCGTACGGATCCTCCGATTCCATCGCCACCGCCACGCTGATGTCCTCCAATGGCGGACAATCCCTATCCTCCTCCTGTCGGCGGTTGTCGGCGTTCTCTTTCTCTTTCACGATTGAGCTAGTGACACCGGGCTCGAAGAACAACCGCTCCGATCTGACCACGCCGCGCACCACCATCTCGAGCGACTCGGCGTCGAGGTCCTGATCCGACTCGGTAGAGTAACTCGCCGACTCGGACGAGTTAGTGAACCACGACTCGTGAGTCTCGGCCTCCAGTACGTCGCCGTTTTGGTGGCTGGGGTTGTGGTCGAAGAAGACCGAGTTCACCGTCTTGATCACATCGTCTCCAACTCTGAACGACAAGGTCTTGGCGTTGTAACAGAGAGGAACTGTGAGTAATCCGCCTCCTCCTCCTATGTTTTTGAAGAGCGAAGAGATCTTCATCTTCTTTCCCGATTTTTTTTTTTTTTTTGGGTTGGGCATTAATGGAGGGAGAAGGAGATAGAAGAGGGGAATAATATAAAGGAAAGGGAAGGGAGGCTGGTGGGTGGGTCAGGGTCATGTGTCTAATTAATATTTTCCCTTTTTTCTAATTTTAGTTAATGTCAACACTCAAACAGCTGAAATTAATTACTGACAGAACTTATTTTATGTATCTAATATATAAATCACTACTATATATATATATATCAGGGCGTATTGACCCATTAGAAAAAAAAAATACATCCTTTGATTGAACCTTCAATTCCAATTTTCATATTTTTAATCAAAGTTTTTACAACATTTCTTTCTATCAAAAAAGGGGTGGGGATATTTTGATTTTTTTGGTATGTATATGTTAGGTTTTGTTTATATTTGGATTGAATTATTATTTTACTTTTTTATTAGATTTTGTAAAAACTATATTGGGTTATTCGGGTCAATGGCTGTTTTCTTATAATCAAATTATTTTAATTTTTTTATCTTTCATTTAACACTAACTAATTTTATTTTAGAAATTAATTCAAATCGGAAACAATTTCGTATATTGAAGAGCCTTGCATTGCATGGTGGCCAATACCAACAGCATGCATTGAAATATATATATATATAATATATTGATTGACCAAACCATATTCTCTCACATTCCCTTCGTCTTGTCAAATCCCTCCTCTTTATTGCCTCTCTGTTTTTCAAAAATCATATCAAAACAAAAAAAACAAAAAGCTAAAAGCTTTAATTTCCAAGTTTTTTTTTTATATTATATAGTTATAAAACGCTCTAAGGAAAAGGCTCTAAGCTTTAGTTCCATCTTTGGCAAGTTTTCATGGGTAAGCAAATCAATAAAACTTCAAGGAATTTAGCCATACGCACAATTTTTTGACGTTATTTAATCACTAACTCTTATCATTTTGTCATTCATTTGCCTTTTTTTTATAATTTCTTTGAAAATGGGATGAGAAATGGTACGTAATATGGGAAGTGTGAAATGACGTGAGAGTGCAAAACTCATGTGAGATCAATTTAATAGGCAACGGTCCAATCACGCTTTACATTAATTGTGAATGTGTACATATATATACGTATATATATGTAATTTTATACTGTATGTAGATGGAGACCCATTTTTACAAAATATGACTAACTCATTATATTTTACTCTGTTTTTTTTTTTGGAAATAAATTACCATCTATTTCATTTTCGGAATATCTGTCTTGTTTCGATTTTGGTATAGCTAATTAAGATATTCCATCATTAAATTCGGATGATCAGTGGTGGTAGGTGTTAGTGTCCACTTTGGTATTTTGTTTTGATTTTTATGAGATGTTGGCATTTATAATATGGAGGAATTTCGGGAAATATTAGGATCAAAATTATAGAACAAATAATAATCTTATTAACATATTTAACTTGATAATATGTTTTTGCTTTTGCATCTATAAGAACAAATAAATTCATTCTTATATATAATTCACATTTCACCAAAAAAAAAAAAATTCTTGCAACATTTTCAAGCGTGCTTGTGTTGGTTAAGCATGGATGAACATATTATTATTTCTTTATAGATATTTTACTATTTGATAATCATTAATTATGTAAAATCCAGGCTTGTAGCGTTTGATTTTATTTTTTTGTTATTCAAGTACTGATAATGAAATTTATTCATTTTCATATAAAAAATACATATGACAACTTAATTAAACAAATATGGTCAGAAAAGCATAAACAAAGATCAATTTGTGCAATTATTAGTGACGGGTTGCAGGGGTTTATCATTGAGTAATAATAAATTACTGAATTTAAAATGCAGCTACCTAACCATTTTGACCCCTTTTTCCCTTAACTATGAAATGAATATTATTTAATTGGGCAAATGCACTTGGTCACATTTTCTTAATATTGAATAATATATATATATGTGTGTATATATATGTATATATAACGAATATTGTGTTCGTGCGACCGAGTGATACGTATGTCGGCCCTTAGATCAAATCATTAGCATATGAATCTAATCATACATAACTTCCAACGGTTTCGATCCCTTTTTTTTCCCTAAAATATCCACTAATCTCCTTCACATAATTTTTCAATACAAATAAATATGTATTTATTAATTAACTTCGACATATTGAATAAAAAATTTGAAATGCATGAAACTAAAAAGAAATATATAATAGATTTTTATATTAAATTTAAATTCTAAAATGTGAAACAAAAAGATAGAGATTTGGCGTAGATATTAAAACCAAATTGTGAATCAGTTACGATTATCATGTAAAATACTAATTTAAACGAACCATCATTAAACCGGTTTTATTACTATTATTATTATTATTATTATTATTATTATTATTATTATTATTATTATTAGAGCATGTAATGAGCATTACTGATAATCATCGAGTAGACAGAGCCAGCAACGCATGAAAGGACATGACCTCGTTGACCCTCGTGATTAATTATATAATTATCATCTAATCTATAAAGTCTTTAACTATATGTATATAGATATATATATGTAGAGTATTATTAATACATGTTTTTAAAAAATTAATAAACTCGAACTAATCTGCAATTATCATGTAACAATTTGACAAAAAAAAATATAATCATGTAACAAAACTACCACCTCATGGGCCCCTTATGCTTTGCTCATAATAGAATATATGTACAGACATACGTACACATTCCACGTGCTCTGCGTGAGCAATATAACCCATACATGTAATGGTTGATAACAAATACAAATTAATATCTGGCATCCGTTTTTTTATTTATAAATATTTGGTTTTTGCAAATAATTACATAAATCATATAAATTTTTTTACTATAATACATAGAAATTCCAAATCATTATTGCATTAAATATCTGAGACATAAGACTCAAATGGGTATTAATCATATAGCAATTTTATCGTTCATATAATTTTACTCGATCATCGATCGGATAGAATCGTGATATCTAATCAAGTTCAGAAAATATGACTGTCACGTCGATAAATTATCAAATTATGTAACTCTAAAATTCTATAATTTATAACCCTTAATTCAATTTTTATATTTTTTTATACATCTAACCGATTTATTTACTGTGGCCAACTGTAGTTATTTTTGTCCGAAAGTCAAGCACGTTCTTCCTCATCGCGAGTTTGACTCAGTTGTGAGTTATAATACGTACAAAAAAAATGACCTGTTTTTCGTTGTTCTGTTCTTCTTATACGTTCGATTGTATTTAATATTTTATTTAGAAGTAAATATTATCTGAAAATATGTTCGTATGAAAATATACATTATGATTTCAAAGTTAGAGAAACGTCCAAATAATACGAGTTATTGCATTTGGACAGTATGTTTAAATGTTCCACATGGCCACCGCCAAAACTCAACTACATCTTTTGACCCCCCCCCCCCCCCCC